GTGGGGGTGGCGCTCCTCCCGTCCCCCGCCCGCGCCTGCCCCCAGCCGCTCTAGCTCCTGGCAATTGGGGCAGTCACAGGAGGAGCGCCCTGCCCCACTGCCCCCATATCCACCACTGCCCCCTGCGCCTGTACCCCGTGGGGGTTTGGCTCCACCACTCCCCTCCAGTTGCCCACTATTGCCCACTGCCTTGGGCTTATAGACATCTTGGGGCAGGACATGTTGGGGCCCTGGTTGTAAGAGGTGGGGAGCTGGATAGGGGGCTGGATTAAGGGGTGCAAAATCAGAAGGGTAGGTGGGCAACTGAGGGTTCAGTGGAGGCTGAGCAGGGCCTGTGGGCAGTGTTCCTTGAAGCCCATCACTCTGGCCCTGCCCACCACCTAGCCAGTTGCCCCCAGGGTGCATGTCCCACCAAGGAGCAGGAGCATTGCCTGGGCCTGGTGAAATGCCTGCATGGATGCCCGCCTTGTACCAGGAGCCGTAGGGATGTGCCATGTCCAGGGAGGTGTAGACACTGGGCAGGCAGTCAGAAGGGCTGTGCCCTTTGGACACTAGTAGCCCAGGGTCCTGGGTGCCTGTGGGCCCAGGGAATGAATGGGAAAAGGGAGGGTAGTCATTGGCGTAGCCTGAGGTGGGTGCTGGAGGACTGCCTGCAGGTGAGAGGAGCCCATTGGTGCTTGAAAAGGGGGCTGGATAGGCATCCCCCATGGTTTTGGAAGCTGAAAGGTCACTGCCCACAGTATATGGCTTCTTCGTGCCTGCTTTGCCCAGAGTTGTTGAGTCCCGCAGAGGGCTGGAGCCACCAAATTTGCTGCATGCTGCAGTCAGCATGGCCAGGGGACTGGAGCCATAGTGAGTGTCCTCCTATGAAGAGAAAAAAGCACTGCTTAGAGGGAGAGGAGGAGAGGTGCAGGACAAGGGGCATCCCTCTGCGGCTGAGGCTGAGACATGGAGGGCAGACAAAGGATCCAGAAGGGTTGGGAGGATGGGGAATGAGAGGTGAGGGAGCAGGGCTGTGAGGGCTGGGCATTAGGGCAGAGCTGAGAGGGAGCGGTGGATGGAGAGCAGAGGCCCACGGCTGCGGCCTGATACCATCCAGGAAGCTGGGAGCAGACTCGTGGAGTTGCTAGGGTGTGCAATGGGCCTCCAGGGAAGTGGGAAACTTTCACCAGGCTGTGTGAAGGGCTGTAGTCAGAGGCAGCAGCTGGGCAAGGTGAGAATTAGAGATCCTGACCCTGGAAGGTGCTCAGGGCAGACAGAGGCCATGGCAGGAACTTAGGAAAGATGAGGCACAATGAGCAGTATGGGGACGAGGCAAAACATTAGGGGATTGTATTAGTCCCCATTTCAGATTTTCCCAGCTTTGCCCATACTCCACTTCCTGTCTCTGTTTCAGCTCCTAAGGCAGTGGCCTGATCTCCCTGAAGTCAAGTCCTCGTGTCCCTGTAAGGAATCTCTTGGCAGGACTCGGGGGCTGGGGAGCAAGAGGAAGCGGCGGTGGAGACACTGGGACATTGAAAGGGATCAGTGCTGCCGCCAAGCCAGGACTGTGGCTGAGGCAAGAATGTCTTTCAAGCGGGCAGTGGGTACCTCCTGCTTTGTGGTGCCAGCTAGCCCCCCTTTGGGAGGGCTGGAAGAGCCCAGAGTCCTCATGCCCCTCCAAGACAGAGAACTGGAGTGGCTGTGATGCCGGTTAGCAGCCATGCGTCAGTGTCCCCAAACATGGAGTCCACACAGCTGGTCTCTCTTCACCCTCCCAGTTATGCATGTGGTACCTGGGAGCCTTTTAGAGAAGGTATCTCCTTGATGCCCACCACGTGGCTGCTACCTGGCCCCAAACCAAGATCACGGCCCCTCAGGAGCTCATGGAACCCTGCCTGGGTCAGGCTCAGCACCCTCAGGAGAAGGTGCCCTCCAGCATCACTGGCTGGCATGCACTTGTGTTCATTACTGAGAATCCCACCAAAAAAGAGGCCTTCCAGTGCTGGCCTTGTTCAGTTCTCTGATGAGGTGCTCAAGAGCTGATGTGCCTGGTGTTTCTCGGTAAAGCTAAGAAATCCAGGAATCCAGGGTTCTCAGACAGGCCTGCTGTTCCTTAGTACGTGGTACGTGTATGTAATACCAGGCCTAGAGGCAGATCTGAAGCCTTCAGGTTGCAGTGAAGGGAGCGTGAAGCCCACTCCTGCACTACTCCCTAATGCAAGCCCGCTGCTTCCCCTGCCCTATAACCTCAGGTCCTGTCGTCCCCATGGGTTACCAGTTTTGAGCCACCAAAATCTGTCTCCAGTCTGGCCACAGTAAATAATCAAGGTTGCTCTCAGTCAGCACTTCCCTGGAGCCTCTGCTCTTCCAAGCAGAGGTGGGCTAGCGCGGGACAGCTAGTGGGCACCAGGGAAACTCGGAGTTCAAGGAGAGAGGAGAAACCTAAAGATGGGGACGCAAAGGACCCTGCACAGCATAAGAAACTGCCACCAAAGCCCTAGAGGGACAGGAAAAGAGGGACCAGCAGGGAAAACTGGCCTTAAGAGGTCAAAATGGGCAGAGACTCAAAAGGACAGAAAGGTAAAAAGTCAAAAGATGAGAGACGAAAAGCAGGATAAACAAAGGAGAGGTGATGGCAAAGAAACTGGGCAAGGAAAGCGAAACGGGGAGAGAAAGGACAGGGAGAAGAAGAGGAAGAGGAAGAAGAAGGCAGCTTCCTACCTAAGAGAACAGCACGGCATGCTGGGCCCCAGAAAACCCCCAGACCAGGCCACTCCTTCCTCCTTCTCCCCCCTGACCGCCCCCTCCCCCTCTGCCCAGCTCGGCTCCGATGGTTTCCCTGCGGTCGGTTTATTTTTAAAAACGCCGACGCCGTCCCCCCCCTCCTTGCCCGGCCCTCACACTGTGGCCACAGGGGCCTCAGCCAAGCCCAGGGACCCCACCCAGCTGTGGGGAGGGAAGGAAGGGTGAAAGAAGGCAGCCAGCCCCAGGCCAACAGGAGACCCCAGCCCTGGGGAGCGGAGGACCACATGCCCCGCCCCCTCCCAGGGCAGAGAAGGGGAAGCAAAACCCACCCAGACTGCCCTGGAGGCCAAGAGCTGGGCACGTGGTGCAGCTTCACCACAGCCTCAGTTTCCTTCTCTTGCTGTTTGCTCGCTCCTGACATTTGGGGGCAAAGGTCCTGGTGGCTAGGAATTCTGAGCTTTTTCCTCTATACCTAGTAAAATGTATTACCTTTCCAGGGCCAGGAGTCACACCTTCCAGTTGTTCTAGGGTGCTCCTCCCCGCCACTGACTTTGGAAAAAGAAACTAATACAGGCTTAATATACTGAAGGGGGAATCCTTGGAGAAAGAACAAGATAGGAACATCCCTGCTCTCTCACCCAGCATGAAGCCAGGGAAGGGGTCCTCTCTTTCCAGGGACCTCACAGTATGGTGCCCAGCCTGAGCTCCCAGTGGAAACACAGACTATCTGAGGGCTGATGAGCCTCAGGCTCTGAGTACCGAAGGTTCCGGATTATAGTTCTCAACTTTTCAGCCTTCTCCCAAGTTTCTTCGTTCTCCCAGATTCCCAGTTCTTTATACGCACTGCGAACCCCCACACCTCCTTTCTCCCTGTTCCCCTGCATCTCACTTGGCCCAGGGGACCACCCCCAACGAACAGCAGCTACTTTGCTCTTGGAACCCTGAGTTCTTTCCATTGCCAGAGCACCTGCCCCATCCCAGGCAGAGAGATTCCTGGGGAGGCAGGACCCCAGAAAATCCCCAGACCAGGCTCCTGGGTTAAGAGCCCAGGTGCCCCCAAACTAGGTGAAAGGGACAGAGGAATTGGAATGTCTTTGTATTGGGGGCATCGCCAGCTCACGGGGAGTGAGAGGCACAGAAGCCTACCTTCCATGACACACTCCTCTTGCAAGTGCTGTCCCAGTCCTGCCTCTCCAGTGGGCCTCTGGACCAGCCCCTCCCCCCAGGCACCAGTGCCATGCTGGCAGCACTGGCATGATGCCCAGGCCCACTGACACTGCCTGTGCTCCAAGTGGACCTAGGATTTCCATGCACCTTTTTCCTACAGCCTCAAGACCACAGTGTTGGGGGGCCAGCAGGTGGCGTGGTGGTTAAGGTGCTGGACACTCCCACATGGCCGATCACAGTTCGAGTCCCGGATTTGGTGGCTTGCTTTCTCACTTTCCCTCTCTCTCTTACTCTGTCTCTCACTGGTCCAATTAAAATAAGTGAATGAATAAATAAAATTAAATAAATAATAATTTTTAAAAGACCACAGTGTTACAGTGATGGCTCAATATAGAGCCAAGTAGAAAAGGTCATGGACAGCAGTCTGCCCCCACTGAAGCTGAGGGTAGAACCCAAAGCTGGAGACCTAACTGGACGCAGAGCGTAGCAAGGGGCATGGTATCTACCGCATTGACTTGCATGTCCTTCCCTCAAACTCAGCCACAAACTCACTACCTCACGGTCTTACCACATGCCATTCCTCACATGCCCTAATGGCATTCAGATGGCCCAACTTACACACACACACACACACACACACACACACACACACACGTAGGCTCACAAGCCAGCTGCTTGCAGGCACACGAATACACTGTAGCACTTAGGCACAGGCCATGGAACACAGGTGTTGGCTCGCGCTGCACCCTACACACACCTCTCCTACAGGCTAGATGGATTGGGTTCCTGACTGGCCCGTCACCCCTGGGCCCTAAGCCACCAGGAACAGAGATGAGAGAGATTCAAATCTACTGTAGGGGATTGACCTTCAAGGGCTCTTTGGCTCCAAATTCTGCAGAAAGGCCCAGAAAGGAAGACAGAGAAGTACACCTGAGACCCAGAAACGGGGAGAGCACAGGCTGTGAGTGACTGAGTCCTTCCTTTTCAACTTCTACCAGAAGTCCTGGTAGAGTTGGAGATTTTTCAAGACCCCAAATGCTGAATTCCCTGGTATTCTAGTTCCCTCCAATCCCAGCAATAGAAGCAAAAGGACACTGGGGTCCCAGCCTGGAGGGGAAGTGGCCCAGTCCGCCCTGGAGCCTCCCACTCCCAAAATAGAGCTGAGTTTGTCTTTGGCTGAAAGCTAAATATTTGTGAGCCGGGCAGGCGGCCTCAGACCCTGTCCCTCCTCCTGGTTCCCTCTCAGGCCTGGGCTCAGTTCCCCTGGTCAGCCCCCCCACATGCACAGGGCTGCCCTCCTCCCTTCTCTCATAGCCTCCCTCCTCTCCTACACACACCAGCTCCAGCTCGCAGTCCCAGCCCCCTCCTCACACACAAACCAGACAAGATCTTGCTTACACAGGAGTCCCAGGCCATGGGACCCCCAAAGAACTGTCCCCAGCGGCTGCTCCTGCCCACTCAGCCAGTCCTCCCTGCCTCTTCCTGTCAGCTACTGGCTCATCTATCTGGTCCCCCATCCGCAGCCCCTCTCTCCTGCCTTCTCCATCCCTTTCCACTCCTCAGTTAGCATGCTTAGGTGGACTTAAGGGGTTCATACCTTCTGACCTAGTCCCCTCTCACTCTCCTTTGACTGCCCTCTGACTCCTGACCCTGTTCTCCCTTCCCTTTCTCCTGTCCTCGGCTCCTCCCTGCTCAGACCCCACTCCTCTCTCCTCAGGACCTTTGCAAGTGACAAGCATCATAGCTACTATGTATGTGAGTTGAGGGCGGGGGTCCACAGGGGTGAGGACCATGCAGACCGAGGCTGGTTTTCTGGGGGGAGGAGAGGGCTGTTACCTCAAGCAGGGAGGACGCCATCCTGAGGCTGGGGAACGGGTCCCAAGGAGCCAGCAGATGGAGAGAGTGGAGCCAGAGAGAGGGAGCAGGGAAAGGGGGAAAATGGGAGAATGGGAGAGAAGAGATCTAAAGTTAGAAGGGACTAGGGGGTGGGGGTGGGGGGGCTGCTCTCTGTCTGTAGGGATCCACCCTCTAATTACAGCTTTCCCAGCGGAGAAGCCTCCGGATCCAATGAGGAGGGCGAGAGAGGGAGGCAGAGGGTCCAAATTTCCTGCTCCATTTGCTGAGCTCCCCAAAGAAGGGATCTGGGAGGGAGAGGAGGAAAAGGGGTGTCCAGAGGAGAGGTGGGAAGCAAGAAGGGGGAAGGAACATGGGCAAGTTGTCAGAGCTTCCTTGGGGGCGCTGGGGGCAAAGGTGAGAAGAGTGATGGACCCAGGTGTCCGCCACACACCCGCAGCAATCCCATAGGCATCTGGGCAGCCCTCCCAGACCTCCCCAGTATCATGTACCTGGGGAAACCTGGGGCTGGCTGTCCTGAGTCTCCTCTCTGGAGGTCTGGCAGCGAGAGTGCAGGCACTGGGTGGCCTGAGGGTGCTGGGAGGGCAGGCCAGCTCCACTCCTGCTCCCACTCAGGCTCTGATCCCAGTCCTACTCTGACTCGGTCCTGGCTGCTGCCGGGCTGCTGCTGCTGCTGCTGCTGGCGCTGCTGCCGCCGCCGCCTCT